TTCGTTTGGACGAATATGTGACACTCCCCTCCCCCCCCCCGCGAGGGTTTTAGCCTGTGGTTATGTTGTCCCCTGGTTGCATTGCTCTGGTGCTAGGATTGAGGGGTATGGAACAGCTTCTGTATGAGGAGAGATTAATAAGACTGGGACTTTTCAGCTTGGAAAAGAAACGACTCAGGGGAGATATGATAGAGGTCTATAAAATCATGACTGGTGTGGAGAAAGCAAATAAGGAAGTGTTATTTACTCCTTCTCATAACACAAGAACAAGGGGCCACCCAATGAAATGAATAGGTAGCCGGTTTAAAACAAACACAAGAAAGTATTTTTTCACGCAACGCACAGTCAACCTGTGGAACTCCTTGCCAGAGGATGTTGTGAAGGCCAAGACTATCACGGGTTCAAAAGGGAGTTAGCTAGATTCATGGAGGATTGGTCCATCAATGGCTATTAGCCAGGATGGGCAGGGATGGTGTCCCTAGCCTCTGTTTGCCAGAAGCTTGGAATGGGCGAGTGGGGATGAATCACTTGATGATAACCTGATCTGTTCATTCCCTTTGGGGCACCTGCCATTGGCCACTGTCAGAGGTCCGGATACTGGGCTTGATGGACCTTTGGTCTGACCCAGTCTGGCCGTTCTTATGATTTTGCAGCTTTGATTGCTTGGAGATGCTTCTCAAAGCCAGGAGTGTTCTCCCCTCATCCTCCACCCCCCTCCTTCCCGCCCCCGTTCGTGTTTGGCACTGAAAGTTTCCACGGTGAAATGACGAGGGATCACCTAGGAAACGCGCCGTCGGCAGGGAGGTGGGTACCGAGCATCGGTTCCCCCTGCTGGGCGTCTCCCGTGGGAAAGGGATGCAGAATCGGCTCCCAGGAGCAAGGTGGGAATTGCAAGGGGCAGCCTGGATTGACCCTCTGAACAACTGTGACGGGAGCCAAGCTGGTTCCTAGCCTGGCCTGTATTACACGGGAGCGGGTGCTCTGGGATATGGCCGGGGCCGGAGGGCAGGAAAAGGACTTCCCAGCGGCGAGACAGGGCTGTGCTTGTAATGATCCTTTT